CACGTACCTCGGGAAAGCAGTCCTTGGCGAAGACGTGGAGCAAAGCGGTCTTTCCACACTGGGTATCCCCCACCACCACGATTTTGCACTTCACGTTCTGATTCGGATCCATGATGGCTTTGCTGGACAATTTCTGGCTGGCTCTTCTTTCCTTCATTGAGGTGTCCTTCGCCCTTCTCCTGCCCTCGAGTAAAACCAAGCAATTCGCCAGGGGCACGGGAGGGAGGGAGAGATGAGCGACCGAAGTCCAAGGAACGGGAAGAAACCCTGCGCGGGATCGCTGCCGAGCGCCGGACGAGGTCTAGCGTCCGCCTCTCCCGCCGCGAAGCCTCTCCCGCTCCCGCTCCCGCCTCCTCATGCACCGTCTCCGGCTTCTCACACAACTGCTTTGTTTCCCCTCCGCCTTGCCGGCTTTTATGAGTCCGCCACCGTCCAATCCGGGGCTCCCGGAGGGAACGCGAGCGGCCCGCCTCTTGCCCTTTTATGGAGCCCGTCAAAGGGGGGGGCACGCGCCGGCTTCGGCCGGCCCCAAGGCGCCCTCTAGAGGGGACCAGCGGCGCGGAGGAACAGCGCTGGGGCTGGAAGGAGGCAGAGCAGGAGGAGGGAGGGAGAGAGGGAGGGAAGTCCCGTTCCTTGGCGGTCTTGTAAACCTGCCTCGGAGGGACAGTTTGCGCTGTGGGGCTTGCGCTCGACCCCCAAGAGGGAAGTGAGCGCGGTGGGGTGTGTTGGAGGGGCTCACGTCCGGGTCTCTTTAGGATCCACGGAGGATGGCACGCCGCCCGCCCCAGCAGAGGCGGCCCAGACCCGTTGCCCGCAACTTCATGGGCGGGCATTTTGTAGCCCGACCCCACTTAAAAACAGCTCCTTCCCTGGCATGTGGGGAACACGTCGCAGTGGGGCAGCGACCGTGCTTCGGGGTCCCGGGGGTCAGAGTGTTTTCCTCGCATCAGCGTGGAGTCAGTCCCTAACCCCAGACGTTATTCCCCCCCTCCTCGTTTTAAGTGCAACTCCAGGGATTCCCGGCAACGGGGGTGACAGGCAGAGCGGCTTCTTTTAGCCTCTTTTAAACTCAGCCGGGGGTCTCTCACCCTGGCATGGACGCCGGTCCTCCCGCCTTCCCGAGGGTGACAAACCCCGCTTGTATTCTGCCGCGTAGTAGGGGATCGCTTAAAAAGCCACATAAGATTCTCCCGCGAGAATCGGGCCCTCTTCGGATACGGAGAGCGCTGCGGGCAGACTGCCGTGTGAAGAGGACAACACGCTTCTGCGGCCAAGTCGCGGTGGGCTGAGAGGACGCCGAGAAATGCTGATGAAAAAAAAGGGGCGGAGAGCCAGTTTTATAGTCGGAGAGCTCTCGATCGATTACTTTCCGTGATCGAGGGGAAGGGGATCCCTCACCCCAGAGTACACCTTTGGTCTGGATGGGCGGGGTAGAAAGCCAATAAAATAAATAAAAATAAATAAATATTCTGGAGATGCGGGAATGGCCGGGGAACCGGACCCATTTGATACCCGCTTCCTACACAGTTGTAGGAATCGGGTCGGGAGGAGGTGGGGAGAAAGGTGGGAGGGTGCTGAGTTTAGGGCTGAGGGCTCCAACGAAAGATCCCCTATTTTTGCTCTAGGATGGAGAGAACTCTTCTAGTCTCGGAAACTTTATGCTGGGATCACTGCTTTCGTCTTCAAGGGCCCACAAGACTCTTGGTTTTAATAGGCAACGCAGCTACCGTCCTCTTTCTGCCGCTGAGGAGGTTGTGTAGAAGGAAGGGTGGCTGCTGCCTTTGGACAGAGGGGGAAACATCTGGAAAAATGTGTCAAGGTGCTGAAGTGGCGCTCCCCAGCTGTTTCACAAAAGCGGGGTGCAGTGTAACCTCCAGGGGTGAAGAGGTGTTGAGAGGTGAAAGGAAAGAAAAAAAAAAGACTGCTTAACGGAGGGGTTTGGGGTGGTGTTTTGTTTTGTTTCATTGAGTCAAAGTGGGGTTAAATGCTGGCAGGGTTGACCTGAGACATTTGGTCGCTCCAGGTGGAGCAGCAAATGGTGCCCACCCCCAGCAAGCCAAGCCAACCAGTGTTTGAAGCAGGGAGGCACAGTTTTGGCAGGTCCTGGGGCCAGTTTTCTGCAAGAGGCCACATGGCCCTCCAAAAATGACAAATAAGGTATGTGCGTGGGGGGGAGCAAACCCAGAAGTGGCTAGAATGGGGTTTTTTTGTGGGTGAGATTAATATTTTTGGGTAGGGTGTTAAATTGTATAGGTGAACCCCACTACTTTATTTGAAAAGTTAGTTCATTGAAGCTCCTGGAGGCCCTCATGTGTGGGAGTTCTCCTTTTGCTTTAATTAATTTTTCTAGGGAATTGTTTGTTTTTGGCAGGGGCCAGGCGAGTCTGATGAAAGAGACAACTTGCCCCCTCAAGGTCACTCTTTGCCCACAACTGGCTAAAAGTAGCCATGTTGTTTGGGCAGAGGCCACAAGCATCACTCCCAGCCCCTATCAGTAAAAATACAATGACATGTTAATTGATTAACCAATTGTTGCCGTTCTGTGTCACTCAAAATCTACTGCCTGGGGTGGCCACCCACTGTGCCTTATATGGTACAAATGGCCTTAAATGCTAGGGGATGGGCTGTTGGATACAGGAAAAGGATGATGAAATGGAGACACCGATGCTCAGTTTAAAGGGTGGCCTATCATGTCTTCAAAGCAAAGCAGGAGAAGGCATTGTGTATTTGGTGTATGATTTTCTCAGTTGCATTTGACTACTGTTGCCAATTGTCGCAGTCTTGCCACTGAATTCCATGGAGTTTCATTTGGAATAATAAGCATTTGGGATAAAGGTATTAATTTTTAATCCGTGCATCAGTGTCAAGGCTTGATTGTGGCAGAAAGAGGGTGAGAAAAAACTCTGATACTGTATAGGCAAAAGGCATCTTGTATAAGCAGAATAGAGAGAGAGAGAAAGAATGAATTGCCTCAATCAAGCCAACAGCTTAGCCTGGAAAAACCCAGCTGCTTGTTTCCCAAGTCAGAACGGTGAAGGAACTCACCGTTCTTTTGTTATTTACAGTAAAAGAAAACACTGGTTTGGCATGACAATATGTATAATGTATTTTGCCAAAGTAAATGAGAAGAACAAATCTTCCTTAAGGAAAGCTGGGTCAGGATCACCCTAACCAGGAAGTGCCTCTTGTGTCCATGTTGTCACTTCTATTCATTTAAGAACGGATGGTACTAAAGTTACAGAGCACAGTTCAGAGTCTGCTCTACTGTCCTTTCTTCCTCAAAATCAGGAACACATTCCTTTAAAAAAATGAGGTCATGTACAGTCTCTGATATCTTGCCTTGAAGTGTCATTCTTATTACATTTAATGTTAGTACCACTTATGGTCATTTCACATACCCATTAGGTACATGGCAGGTAGCAGAATTTGGGATTACTGCATATTCATAGATTCATTATATTTCTGTGTTGTCTTCCCTATAATTACACAGCTCACATCCATCCCTCTTTATCTGCACAGTAACTCTGGGAGACAGGCCAATTTGAAAGGTTACCCAGGGAGTACTGTGGCTTAGTAAGGACTTCCACTTGGATCTCCCAAGTCTCAATCCAACTTATCACACTAGCCATGATCTTATCAGTGTTTGCATAAGGCAGGGGTGGGCGATTAATTTCTATAGAGGGGGCCACATGAAAAATCTGACCTGTGTTCAGGGGCCGAACCAACTTTACTTAAAAATAGTATGAAACAGTGATGTTATGATGGTTTTTATTTTAAACTTGTTAATCTTCACAAATACGAAAGAGGTTTTTCCAGTATGTTAAAGATAAACAACTGATCGACTTTAGGAAAAAAAAAGCTATAAATGGTTTTGATGTTCAAAACTGTCCGCGGGCTTGACAGGAGCGGCTCGCGGGCCTTATGTGGCCCTCAGGCCGCACTTTGCCCAGGTCTGGTATAAGGTACCATAATGTGTGATTTGCCATGGTTATTAGTGACTAACTGTTGAGAAGCTGAGATATCTTAGATCATCTGTCATCTTAGTACTGCAGAGCTGGAAGAGACCCTATGGACCATCAAGTCTAGCGCCTGTCAGGGAGGCCCAGTGGGGAATCAAACTCTCAACCTTTGGCTCCACAGCCAGAGGTCTAACCCACTGAGCTATCCAGCAGTTCATTTTACCCTAGTTATGTGCTTGGTCACATGCCTGATTTGAGATATGCCTTGGCCTACCTTATTAGCTAGTCACAAGTAGCCACAGCAAACGGTGCAAACCTTATATGGATGCTATTAGGAATCTGGCCATTGATTCTTAATTATGGTGCCTGCCTGCGTATGGCTAGCTAGTCATTTACCAGTGCCATCCCAGATGAGGATCGGGCACTTTCCAAGCCAACCACAAAATATAGTGTGGAGATGTAGCATATATAAAAATGATCCTAGATATTTGTTGATTTGGGGGCCTGCGTATGGTGGCCATGCCCACTGGGAAACAGCCAGTGTGTACAGAGATTTTAGGTAGCCACCTTGATGGCTCAGCTGAATCAGCCCTGCCTCAAATTTTTGTTTGTTTAAAATATTTTTATCTGGCCTTTCTTCTTAAAAAAGACTTGGGGCAGCTTATATTATTAAAAAGACAATATTTAAAAGCAGAAAATATACAATTTTTAAAACAGGGAAATATATTACAAATAGTAAATAAAATCAGTGCTAAAACACATTTAAAAGCTAAAAGACCCAACAATCCATTAAAAAAAAAACCTCTCAGTGAGTCTTTCCTTTACCATCTTGTACCCACACCCTCGTTTGAAGCAGAATTTGGAAATGTTCTCTCATATAGTGTCAGAAAAATAACTTTTCTAAGTCCTGGAGTGATTTGTTCTTAAAGTTTTTCATTTCACACTCATTTGAGTTTTTCTTGCCAAACGTAGTGACTGACCTTGTGCAAAATTTATATTGAGGCCCGTTCAGACTGACAGTGACTCTTAAGATTCCTCTCAGATATAACATGAACTTATACAGGTACATGAGCACTCTGTTCAACAAAGCACAAGGCCATGGCGCAATGCTAGCAGAGGCATCAAATAGTGTCATGGTCCTCCTTTTAGTTTGAGTTCACTTAGTTCATTTTAGGGAGGCTACTGCATAAGGAAAGAGCATGTCAAATTATTTTCAACATTCTTGTGAAGTGACACAGTAATTTTGTCATAAGGCTTTTTGTCATGTGGCATGTGGCTCCCAGCTCCCTTTGTGTGTCAGAAAATACATCTTTCCTGTTCATGGAAAGACAGAAATAAGACCTTTTTTTTTTTTTTTTTTTTTGAGGCTTACAACCTAGCTA